AGAGGGGTGGGTGGGGGTGTGGGGGAGGGGGCAAAGATGCTAGGTTTTCTTGTCTGTCTATACTCTACCATACATACTACTATTTATACTTTTTGGTACACACCATTTTGAATAATACACAATTTCCATTATATATCTATCTCAAATTATCTGTCGTGTTTTCTTTTTTAACATGTTCCCTAAGAAAGTATAGTTATCATGCCAAAAGGTGTCGTTTTAGGAAAACTCACGCGTTGATTAAGAAATTAGTACATATGATGTGTAGTTTTCTAAACTAGAGTATTTCTGTTTAATAAATGTCTCTTCAGAATTGAACATTATTAAGAAGATGAAGTATAAAGGTAAAGTTGGAAGAACGTACTAATTTTTGTCTTGAATTTTTAAAAGGTGATACTTACTTTGGGACGGAGATGATATTAATTAGGAGAGGTTTTAATTATTTTACCTGTATTTATATTTTAAAGTATAATCTCTATCTTTTCATTAACTAAGATATAATAGTCTTCGAGAACAATTACTGGCTGGGATAAAAAAAGAAGAAGGGAAAAGACAATTGAATAGTAAACCAAATAAGATGCTAGATTCCCAATTTGTATTTTTAAGGCCTTGTCACTTCATATGACTCATAGTTGTTTCCTCCTTTCATTTCTCTCTCCATTTTTATGTGTTCTCCTATGAAATGTTACATTGGCAAATACTGTACATTCTGCATATCCTACACTATTTACACCCCCTCCCCCCAAATGCCCAATGTACCCTTCTTCTACTTCTTGTCTCTATGCCTAAGGGCAAAACCAATAGTATAATCTTTTAACATAGATTGTTCTTTTTTATTTCTTATAACTCAGTGTTCACTATCTTTATTGAGGTTCCAACTAATTCACATTTATGTCGCGTGTTAGGACATATAAGTTCTATATACTCAGGATCCTAAACTAGGTCTGTTCAAAACTGAATCAAAACTGAAAAAAAGTTATTGATTTATCAGTATTGGGTTATTGGTTTAACGGTTTTGATAATGATTTTGATTTTTTTTTATTATTGGGTTATCGATTCTTAACGGTTTGAGGTTTTTTCTTAACGGGTTAACCGATAACCCGATAGTAAACTAGATAATTATATTTATATCATTTTGTATATAAAGTCCTTGACTTAGAGTTTGGTTTCCTACTTTTATTTTTGGTTGTCTCAAACACTTGGTTATTCTACAATGTAAAAGTGTTTGCTTTTGAGCAAGATGTAACTTGTGAACTCATGTGTATGGTTTATTTGGTTTGTTACCTTATTTCTAAGTGATTTTCAATGGGTTTTTTTTTGTCAAATCTTAATGGTTAAACCGATAACCAAACCGATAACGATCAAAAACCAATAACCGATAAACCAATATCTTAATGGCTCTATAACGGTTTAGCATCTCTGCAAACCGATAACCAATAAGCCAAATCGATAAACTTCAAAACCGAATCGAACCAACTGATAAGTAGCCCTATCCTGAACTTGAGGTCTCTGTTTAAAGGTAGAGAGATTCTATCCATTTCACCACAACTCTAGATTGAATATGAATATTGTTAATTTTTAAGTTTCCCATTTTGTTTTAAAAATCTAAGGCATATTGTCTCTTTCAGATTATGTCTATCCATATGATTGTATGACTTTAACTTTTTGTACACTAACAATGTCAATTAAATTTTATATTATTAGATTGTCGTGAGATGGATAGGAATTAATATTCCTTCATTCTTAAGTATAGGTATTCTCGAGTTTGAGTTCTCTAATACCTTACATGATACAAATTCAAATTAATAAAAACATCAATACAAATGTCGAACGCGAGGTGATAAGTTGGAAGAAAAATGTAATAGTGCAAAAGGTGAAGTCATCTAAACAGCAACAAATAAGCCTTTATTGAACTAGTTGATAGGCCTTTCATGACAAAACACAAGTTGATTTGATGGCTTTGTAAGTTAAATTTTTTAAAAAACTCTGACTAAAATTTTGCACCATAAAGCTCTCTCATTTCACTTCACTTATCCCAAAATTTTTTAACTTCTTTTAGTACGTACAATATGCATGGGGACTTAACGAAACCTACAAAATGCTACTTCTCTTAATTTCTACCTATGAAATCCGAATTTGAAATTTATAATTTTATAATTCTAAGTTTTTTTAAGGTATTATTAGACTCAAAATTATTTTCTCCGTTAAAATATATGGTCTAAAACAAATTTTTAGATATTTTTGTGATTATAGATCATTTCAGTTATGGTAAAGGGAAAATTTCAGAGTTGAGTTATATTTAATCATAGAAATGTGATATTCATTTTCTGGACAAACTAAAAAAAAAAAAAAAGGATATCATATAAATTGGGACAAAAAAATAATAATTTGTACATAATCTATAATTTTTTAAGATTTAAAATAAAATTACAATATTCGGTCAAATTTATAGTCGACACTCTAGCTCCACACCTATATATAGTGGTGTTTTAGGCCAGTGTTATTCATATCTAGGGGTGTTCACGGGTTGGTTTGGATCGGTTATTGGTCAAAACCAAAACCAAACCAACTTGATCGGTTTTAAAATTATCAAAACCAAACCAAACCAAATACAATATACATTTATCGGTTTGGTTATTATCGGTTTCGGTTTGGTTTGGTTCGGTTATTCGGTTATTAACCATACACAAAAATAAAAGAAACAATTCATTTAAAATGTGAAAAAAGTGACAACAATCCATTCAAAACGAAAAATAGTTAGAATGACTTAAATTAGTAAACTTTCAATCACTAAATTTACTATCAATAAAGCTTTAAAATTCACTATATTGGCCTAGAAGGAAGAGACAATAACATTTTCAGTCCCACAAAAAATTGTCATAGACACTCATATACATGAAATCAATAAGATAAATGTTTCATCTTGGGCATTTTTGCTTTCAATAAGTAAATTATAAAGAAATTTTAATGAAAATATGTATAAGATCTTTAAAATTGTTTATAAAAATAATATATTAAGTATGTATATTAATAAAATATATGTATATAATTCATCGGTTTGGTTCGGTTATTTTTTTTATTTGTTTTGAATAAAACCATAACCAAACCAAATACTATCGGTTTTCAAAAATCTAAAACCAAACCAAACCAAATCCAAATAAAATCGGTTTTATTTTATCGGTTTGGTTTGGTTTTTCGGTTTGGATCGGTTTTTATCCAAACCGTGAACACCCCTATTCATATCCATAGTTATTTACAGAGAGGTTTTTTCAGATATATATAAATGAAGAACTTTGTTGGAATTTGGATTTTAAGGTAGTGAAAATTAACTTCTATTTTTTTGTATGTTTTGTTTTCCTATTAGAATTATTCTAATCCATAAGCTAAAAACTAGAAATTTTATACTTCAAAAAAAAGGGTAACCTTAGTTTAACTTAATTAAAATGAGGAAAAGGCGTGAATACCTTCTTGAACTATGATTGAAATTCCAAGAACACACATTTTTTTTCTATTTTATGGGATTCAGTTATATACGATCTTAAACTGCCAAAAATAGTGCAAATTTAACGCATATGTATTTAAGATACATGAAATCCAGTGTATCCGACATATCATGTAATTATGTAAACTATCATTTCATTAAGTAATTAGCATCTATAATATTGTGTTTTATGAATTTTTCTACCTCATGTTTATTATCAAAGTGGATTTGGCCCAAAGCTAGACAAATGCAAATAGAAGAATAGGAAAATTAGGAAAAAGACTAGTCTAAATTTGTTTTAAGCCCAATTGAAGCCCATTTATCTTTTGTTGTTAGAGGCATACATGCCCAAGTTTAGCGGCCCGAATAGTTTATATATAATATAAAATGACCCTGATCTTAAAAACAAACATTCTTAACTATTTAGTATTCAAATCTTAATGCAATATCTTAATATTCATATGTGTATTTAAATTCGAATCTTTGAATTTGCAACATCTTAATATTCAAATTCAAATGTCTTAATCAGAATAAGTTATTGCGTTCGAGAACAAATGGAAATAGTCTAATCGATATTCTTAAATCAAGACTTAAATGGTCCGTTCAATTAAAAAATCTCTAATAATTAACATAACTCTGGAGCAATTATTAATCTCTGTTTCAACTCTAAGGTGAGATATATTCCTTGTTAGTTTTCTATTTTATTTTTCCTTTTCTGCTATTTCTCATTTAATTATTTGTCACATTTTTTTATGTCTAGTTTTATAATAAAGTCTAAACTATGATAAGTTTGGGTTGGATCTAATCTCATCATATACTTTTAAAGTCAACTCCTAGTTCTATCTTTTTGCTACCATTCTTTTTCAATTTTTTGTAAGACTGAAGCCATAGATCCTTTCAAGCAATTATTGATCTCTAAGGTGAGATTCCTTTCGTTTTACTTGGATTTGATGCACTTGAGCTGAGAGTTTTTCGAAAACAGTCTCTCTACCTCCACGAAGTAGAGGTAAGATTTGCATACACTCTATTCTTCCCACAGCCTACTTGATGGAATTTCACTGCATATGTTGTCGTTGTTTTGTTATTTCTAATTTGATTGTTTGTCGCAATTTTCATGTCTTATTTTACTATAGTAATGGAATATATATACTTGTATTCGTAAGATTCCTTTTCCTTTTCCTTTACTTAGATTTAATGCACTTGAGTTGAGAGTCTTTTGGAAACCGTTTTTCTAGCTCCACGAAGTAGTGATAAAGATCTGTGTATACTCTACTCTGGCTATGTTATTCTTTTGTTATTTCTAATTTGATTGTTTGTCGCAATTTTCATGTCTTGTTTTACTGTAGTAATGGAACATATATACTCATAATCATAAGACTTTAGATGTGGCATTGTTAATCATTAGAGTATGTTCTTGTTAATGTAGATTTTATTTCCAACAATCGTTTAAGAGGCCAAGCTAATATGGAGAATTCTGAAGAGTCTTGCATCGAACCTTATTATCCATCAATAGATGAAGAACTAGTGGGGTTTGATGATTATGCACAAAATATATTTAAGTATTTGATTAGTGGAGGAAAGGACCTGGACGTTGTCTCGATTGTTGGAATGGCTGGTTTAGGGAAAACAGCTCTGGCTAGAAAGATATACGGTAGTCTTTCTATTCGTTGTCATTTTGATGTTGTATTTTGGTGTTCTGTTTCACAAACATCTAATAGGAGAGAGTTGGTGCTTCGGATTCTAAAACAAATTACACGTGATCATCATTCTAACTATGCTGACTTGGATTATCCTGAAGACATATTGCGAAAGTGTCTATACGGAAAAAGATATCTCATTGTATTAGATAACATATGGGAAGTCCAGGCATGGGATTACATTCGACAATGTTTCCCTGATGGTGATAATGGAAGTAGAATAATGGTAACAACTAGAAATGAAGAGGTGGCTAATTATATGACGAGGTATAGTGATCCTTATTCACTTCCATTTCTAAAAGATGAAAAGAGTTGGGAACTATTGCAGAAGAAAGTATTTAAACGAGGGAACTCGTGTCCTTTGGAGCTAGTCAATGTAGGACAACTAGTTGCCAAAAAATGTAAAGGATTACCTTCTTTGATTATCATGATTGCTATAACTCTTTCAGAAGAAAGAGAAGCGTCTTCGTGGCTTAAGGTTGCATATGATATAAGTTCTCATGTTTTCGACAAGGAGAGAAGCATGATGACGATACGATCAAGTTATGGCCATTTACCGGATCATTTAAAGCCTTGCCTTCTCTATATGGGATTGTTTCCTAAAGATTACGAAATTCCAGTGTCTGATCTACTCAAGTGGTGGATAGCTGAGGAGTTTGTGCAGAACATTGACACGTTGAATCCAGAAGAATTATCAGAGATTTGCTTGCATGATCTTGTTGGCAGAAACCTCGTAGTGGTTTCCAAAACAAGCTTGAATGGTAAAATGAAATGCTGCATAGTTCTTGATCAAGTGCGTGAGTTTTGCTTGAGAAAAATTACAGAAGAAAAGTTCATGCACCTCATAGTGCCGTATAGTTATCCAGATCAACCCGAAGAACAAAGGTTATGCATGTACATACATGACCGTACTATGACAAGTGATTTCAAGGAAAGTGATCAGGAGTTCATTGTTCATCCGAAATTCAGTATATTGGACCGTAAGAATCCTTTCCGTTTGCTTAATAACTTAAAACTTGTTCGGGTTTTACATTTATTGGATATCTACTTGGACAATTCTTTGGCTGCTACATTTCAGTCATTCCCTCACTTGAGGTACCTTGCAATTTTTGTTAAAGCATTTGATTTCAAATGGGTGTCACACCTACTTCATCTACAAACTTTGCGGGTTCGTTCATCTTATATAATGATATCCCCTGCTATATGGAAAATGTCAAAGTTGAGGCATGTGGACATAAACGAATTTCCCGTTACAGTATGGGATGAAGATGATAAAGATGATATTGTGTTAGATAACTTGAAGACTCTTGGAATGTGTTCTATGTCCGCGGCTGACATGACTTGGGAGTTTTGGAAAAAGTTTGCAAATCTTGAAGAACTCAGGCTCCACATAAATGAATTTGAAAATCATGTTCCTTATCATTTTTGCTTTTTCCCCTTACGTCTCAGGTGTTTGTCTCTCAGTGAAATATTCCTAACTGATGGATTAGTTTCAAGTATTACAAATTTGCGATGCCTTGAGACTCTTAAATTATCCGAGATATACTTTGCAGGGGAAAAGTATTGGGATCTCGGTGATAGCACGTTTGTACAACTCAAGTTTTTGAAACTACATCGTGTTTTTATGACCAAATGGAGTTGCTCAGAGGAATCATTTCCTTGCCTTGAATATCTTGTTATAAAAAATTGTCCCAAGCTTGAAGAGATCCCGGATAGCTTTGCTGATATTCCAACACTGCAATTGATTAAAGTGATCAATTGTAGTGAGTCAGTTCGCAATTCAGCTCAAAACATTAAAGAAGATGTAGAAAACACTGAAGGAAATGAGAGACTCCAACTTCATATCCCCAAGAACTACTAAAGATGGTAAGTGATTTCATTATTGTCAGCTACATTCCTTTGACGCAGAATTACATTGCATGATGTGTCGTTTTGTATTGTTGTTGTATTGTATCGTACTGTATTTTAATGAAGGGAAAAAGGACAAATAAACCCCCGAACTATCGTAAATGGTATCTAAATACCCTCCGTTATACTTTTAGGACGTTCATGTCCTTACCGTCCAAATTTTGGAGCGTATATACCCTTATGATAGACGGCGGGACACGTGGCATCATCTCAATGACTTGCCCAAAATTATTTAATTTATATTTCCAACCCGGATAACTTAAAACCCCCGACCCAAATTATAACCCATAGACACCCTGACCCAAATGAAAGAAAAAAAAAAGGCAACGACAACCATTGCCTCTTTCATCTATTCCTCACTTCTTCTTCAATGGCATCTTTTCAAATTTCATCTTCTTCAATACAACCATTGATAATGTGCATATTTATTGCCGCTAAAATTTTTGTCTTCTCCTCATCCACAACTGGAGCAACATTAGATCCAATAACAATTCACTAATGTCGGTAAAGACTTTAACACTCTTTGTTAATGTGCATATTTATTGCCGCTAAAAAATATTTTTGTTATAGTTCTAGATGTGATTTCCGAGCAGCTGAATCATTCATCAGACTTGTGAATTTCTAGTCAGAGGAGACATCAGTAGAAGCTAAACCATTGTAGTACTGAGATGAAAGGTTCTGCTTTGTGGATGGATTGATTTGCATATCATCAGCAAGTTGCTATTGACCGGAGGATATCAATGTCTATTTAGATTTGTGCTTTGTAATGCTCCGTTCTGATATGTATTGTCAGAGATGGAGCCAGAATTTGAAGCTTATGGATTCTGAATTTTTTTCACATGTGATCTGAACTATTAATTGTCATGTTCACTGTTGTTATTTGCTGATGGAAACTATATGTGTGTATTTTGTATATATATATATGAAAGTATCTCCGGTAATTTCTTATCACAATTTACTACTATCTCCGTCTTTATTCAAGTGTCTTAGTTTGATTGGACACGGGTATAAGAAATAAATTGAGATTTTTTCGAATCTTATGGTCTTAAATTAAAGATGTATGTTATCTTTTCAATTTTATGTGGTCTTAAACTTGTCAGTAGAGTGTTGGTGTTGAAAATTTTACTAAATATAAAAAGACTTTTTTGGAATAGACAAAAAGAGAAAGTAAGACACTTAAATTGGTACGGAGGAAGTAAGTCTCAAGAATATTGAAGAATTTTATCAAGTGTTATCTGGTTTTAAAAAAATAATCAAGGTTCTAAGTACAGAATTGAACACTGTAGAAATATTAATGTAAGCAAGTAAATAATTAAAAAGGCAACATCATTTCTTTTATACTGGTTCGATCCAAATGTTAGACTCCCAAAATGGACACTTTTAGAACGCCATAGATTAAAAGGACCCTCCCTAAAAACACAGACCAAAACATGCACTTCACCCAAACAATTTGAAAATATTAAGGTATTATCAAATAGGTGAAGTGTCCATTTTGGTTCTTGTTTTTAGGGAAGGTCTCTTTTGGTTCGTAACATCCAAAAAATATCCCTTTTGGGGCTAGACTCCTCCAGGGAGGTTCAGTTTAGTTGAAAAATAAGTTATCTTGAAATTAGTTATTTCGAAATTATTATTCCACCTTCAATGTGAGAGAAAAATAATTCTACAAATTTGATAATTAAAATTTTGGGCCATCATGATGATTTGGTGTACTATAAATTTGGGTTGGATCAAATTAAAAATAATTTCTTAACATGGTCTAATAAAAGAGTGCCACGTGTAATTTTATAAAGTCAACCTTGTCAATTACTAGATCTATCTTTCTCCTATACCATCAGTATTCATTCTTCAAGATTCAAAGCCCACAAAACTTCTTTTCCAATTCTTTCTAAGAGGGAAACTATAGAGTTAACACAATCATATAGCAATTATTAATCTCTCTATTTGCACTCTAAGGTGAGATTCCTTTTTTAGCTTTCTATTTTTTTCCTTTTATTTTACTTTCTGATGAGTCATCCAATTTATGTGACACTTTGTTGTTATTTTTTCGGTAATTAATTTGACTAATCTTTGAATATAAATTAGATTAGATCAATTCTATATGAGAAGTAGTATTAAGTAGTTGTGATTCTTCTCATATCAATATGATCCTTAATATTTTGGTTTGGGTCAATCGAATAGATAGAAGATCTAGCACCTTGGTGAGAGATAATGGGGCACAAGTTAGGATAGAGTTTTGTGATCTTGGGGAAAGCTAGTTTGAATCTCGAAAAACTAAAATTAAGACATAGAGATTTGAGGAATTAACTTCTAATTAACAAATCTTTCATAATGTTTCCAGTGTTGTTAATCCTATTTTAAATTTTATAAGTACTAATTTGTAACTTCCATAGATATATATTCCCTCTTTTCAGAACATGGATGTTGAGGCAAAATGTTTAATCACACGTACTAGGTAACTCTGTCCACCTAGTGTTTTATGGACATGTAAAATGTTCAAAACTATTTCTAATGCTCACTTGCTATTTGAATAGAAGAAAATGACATTACTAAGACGAAAACTATTTCATTGATTTTATGGAGGCTGACACAGTTATTAACTATAATGCAGTTTTACATGGAGAACATCGAGTTAACTACTTCTCGATGCTATTTTTCATCGAATGATGAGGAATTTGTGGGGTTTAAGGAGGATGTAAAACAGATCATTAAGAAATTGACTAGAGGAACAAAAGAACGCGAAGTTATATCGATTGTTGGAATGGCAGGACTAGGCAAAACAACTTTGGCTAGAAAGGTGTACAACAATCATTCTGTTGCTGATCACTTTGATGTTCGCGCATTTTGTATTGTTTCACAAACATATAGCATCAGAAAGCTATTGTTTGAGATTCTTAAACAAGCCACGGGTGAAAAACGTGACATGATCAAAGAGGATGAGGACGTTGCAGATACGTTGAGGAAGGCACTTTATTGTAAGAGATACCTCATTGTTTTAGATGATATGTGGAACTATGAGGCATGGGAAGATTTGCAATCATGGTTCCCTTGTGTGGAAACAGGAAGTAGAATTATGGTAACAACTTGCGTCCAAGAGGTTGCTATTAAGATGAGTGATCCTTATTTACTTCGATTCCTAACAGATGAAGAGAGTTGGGAATTATTGCAAAAGAAGGTATTTAAATGCGAGGGGGTTCCCTTAGAGCTAGAAAAAGCAGGATTTGAAGTTGCTCGAAACTGTAAGGGATTGCCTCTTGTGATTGTGTTGAATGCTGGTATTATCGCACAAAAGGTATTATCAAAGTGGATTTGGCCCAAAGCTAGACAAATGCAAATCTAAGAACAAGAAAATTTGAAAAAAAACTAGGAAAAATTACACAAGTGAAGATCTTTTATCTTTATTTAATAATTACCACTTTTAAGTATACTTTTAATTTATTACCATTTTTGTCAAATTTTAGCAATACTGTCATTCAGCCAAATTTTTATATATGGTTAAAACAATAATGTTGACAAATATCGTAAATATTTTTTAAAAAGTGTACACTTAAGTGATTGTCTAAGTTCGTTTAAAGCCCATTTAGCTTTTGGTTAATGTCTTAATCTAAATAAGTAGATATATTTAATGTGATTTTATTTATCTACCTAATGAGCGTCTCGAGAACAAGTGGAAATAATTTAATCTAGATATTCTTAAATCAAGACTTAAATGGGGCCCTCAATTAAAAAATCTCTAATAATTAACAGAACTTTGGAGCAATTATTGATCTCTCTGTTTCCACTCTAAGGTGAGATATATTCCCTGTTTTTTTTCCTTTTTGCTATTTCTCATTTGATTATTTCTCACATTTTTTATGCAATCTAGTCTACATTCTGATAAATTTGGGTTGGATCTAATCTCATCATGTACTTTTAAAATCAACTCCTAGTTCTATCTTTTTGCTACCATTCTTTTTCAATTTTGTGCAAGACTGAAGCCATAGATCCTTTTAAGCAATTATTGATCTCTTAAGGTGAGATTCCTTTTGTTTTACTTGGATTTGATGCACTTGAGCCGAGAGTTTTTGGAAAACAGTCTCTCTACCTCCACGAAATAGTGGTAAGATCTGCATATACTCTATTCTTCCCACATCCTACTAGATTGTTGTTTTGTTATTTCTAATTTGATTGTTTGTCGCAATTTTCATGTCTTATTTTACTATAGTAATGGAATATATATACTCGTATTCGTAAGATTCCTTTTCCTTTACTTAGATTTAATGCACTTGAGTTGAGGGTCTTTTGGAAACCGTCTTTCTACCTCCACGAAGTAGTGATAAGATATGCATATACTCTACTCTGGCTATGTTATTGTTTTGTTATTTCTAATTTGATTGCTTGTCGCAATTTTCATGCCTTGTTTTACTATAGTAATGGAACATATATACTCGTATTTGTAAGATTCCATTTTCTTTATTTAAATTTGATGCACTTGAGTTGGGAGTCTTTTGGAAATAATGTCTCTACCTACACGAAGTAGTGGTAAGATCTGCGTACACTCTGCTCTGGTATGTTGTGGTTTTGTTATTTCTAATTTAATTGTTTGTCACAATTTTCATGTCTTGTTTTACTATAGTAATGGAACATATATACTCATATTCATAAAACTTTAGATGTGGCATTGTTAATCATTAGAGTATATTTTTGTTAATGTAGATTTTGTTTCCAACAATCGTTAAAGAGGTCAAGCTAATTATATGGAGAATACTGAAGAGTCTTGCATCGAACCTTATTATCCACCAATTGACGAAGAACTAGTGGGGTTTGATGATGATGCAGAAAATATAACCAAGTATTTGATAAGAGGAAGAATGGACCTGGACATTGTCTCGATTGTTGGAATGGCTGGTTTAGGGAAAACAGCTCTGGCTAGAAAGATATACAATAGTCGTTCTATTATTGATCATTTTGATGTTCGAGCTTGGTGTTCTGTTTCACAAACATATAATATGAGAGAGTTGTTGCTTCAGATTCTAAAACAAATTACAGGTGATCATCATTCTAACTATGTTGACTTGGATTATCCTGAATTCATATTGCGGAGGATTCTAAAGGCAACAAAATATCTCATTGTATTAGATAACATATGGGAAGTCCATGGATTGGCTTATTTTCGAGCATGTTTCCCTGATCGTCATACTGGAAGTAGAATAATGGTAACAACTAGAAATGAAGAGGTGGCTAGCTATGTTAAGGGGTATAGTGATCCTTATTCACTTCCATTTCTAAAAGATGAAAAGAGTTGGGAACTATTGCAGAAGAAAGTATTTCAACGAGGGAACTCGTGTCCTTTGGAGCTAGTTAATGTAGGACAACTAGTTGCCAAAAAATGTAAAGGATTACCTTCTTTGATTATCATGATTGCTGAAATTCTTTCAGAAGAAAGAGAAGCGTCTTCGTGGCTTAAGGTTGCATATGATATAAGTTCTCATGTTTCCGACAAGGAGATGATCATGAAGACGATACAATCAAGTTATGATTATTTACCAGACCATTTAAAGCCTTGCCTTCTCTACATGGGATTGTTTCCTAAAGATTACGAAATTCCAGTATCTAATCTACTCAAGTGGTGGATAGCTGAGGAGTTTGTGCAGAGCATTGACACGTTGAAGCTAGAAGAATTATCAGAGATTTGCTTGTGTAATCTTGTTGGAAGTAACCTCGTAGTGGTTTCTAAAACAAGGTCGAATGGTAAAATGAAATGCTGCATAGTTCTTGATCAAGTCCGTGACTTTTGCTTGAGAAAAATTACAGAAGAAAAGTTCATGCAGCTCATAGGTTATCCAGATCAACCCGAAGAACAAAGGTTATGTATGTACATAGAAGACCGTACTATGACAAGTGATTTCAAGGAAAGTGATCAGGAGTTCATTGTTCATCCGAAATTCAGTATATTGGACCGTAAGAATCCTTTCCGTTTGCTTAATAACTTAAAACTTGTTCGGGTTCTACATTTATTGGATATCTACTTGGACAATTCTTTTCCTACTGCATTTCAGTCATTGCCTCACTTGAGGTACCTTGCAATTTTTGTTAAAGCATTTGATTGCAAATGGGTGTCACACCTACTTCATCTACAAACTTTGCGGGTTCGTTCATCTTATATAATGATATCCCCTGCTATATGGAAAATTTCAAAGTTGAGGCATGTGGACATAAACGAATTTCCTGTTACAATATGGGAAGAAGATGATATTGTGTTAGATAACTTGAAGACTCTTGGAATGTGTTCTATGTCCGTGGCTGACATGACTCGAAAGTTTTGGGACAAGTTTGCAAATCTTGAAGAACTCAGGCTCCACATTAATGAATTTGCAGATCATATTTCTGATTATTCAAGCTCTGCATTGATGAATTTGGATATTATTTTCCCCTCGCGTCTCAAGTGTTTGTCCCTCAGTGAAATTTTCCTAACGGATGAATTAGTTTCAAGTATTGCAGAATTGCGATACCTTGAGACTCTTAAATTGTCCGAGATATACTTTGCAGGGGAAAAGCATTGGGATCTCAGTTACACGTTTGGTCAACTCGAGTTTTTGAAATTACATCGTGTTTTTATGACCAAGTGGAGTTGCTCAGAGGATTCATTTCCTCGCCTTGAATGTCTAGTTGTAAAAAATTGTTCCAAGCTTGAAGAGATCCCGGATACCTTTATGGACAGTGGATTTTTGCGATTGATAAAAGTTATTGATTGTAGTGATTCTGTTTGCAATTCAGCTGTGAAGATTAAAGAAGAATTAGGAGAATGTTATGGGATCTCGATCCAAGTTGATATCTCGAAAAAAGACAAATGATGATGGTAAGTGATTTCATTCATTATTGTCATGTTTTTGCATATTAAAAAAAACATTTCTTCCTTGCATATTAAAGTTCAGGTGTGCAGAATAAACTATGTTATGTAATCCCACAAGTAATTAAGGTCTGGAAAAGATAGGATGTACGCACACCATACTCCTACTTTTCTGGGGGGAATATTGATCGGTAATATAACTTTTAAGCTATGCCAATTGTGCTACATATTGCATCGACAACATACTTGTCAAGAAATAATTTAAACCAACAATGTCATTTTTATATAACGTTATTGTTGTTGAGTTCTCTCTAGCTACTTCCTTTCGTAGTGTACTTCATTCATTTTCCTGACATTCTTCATCGTTTTCATATTTTTAACTTCATCTTTATATACCATCCACCTAGATGTGATCTCCGAGCAGCAGAATCATTCATTGGACTTGTGAACTTCTAGTCAGAGGATACATCAGATGAAAGGTTTTGGTTTGTGGAATATATCAATGTCTATCTAGTTTTGTGCTTTGTAACGCTACGTTCTGATATGTATAGTCAGAGACAGAGCCAGAATTTAAAGCTTATTTATTCTGAATTTTTATCACTGTGATCTGAATTATTAATTGTCATGTTCACTGTTGTTATTTGTTGATGGAAACTATATGTGTGTATTGTATATATATGAAAGTATCTCCAGTAATTTCTTATCACAATTTACTACTATCTCCATCTCAATTCAAGTGTCTTAGTTTGATTGGACATAGGTAAAAGAAATAAAGTGAGATTTTTTTGAATCTTGTTGTCTTAAATTAAAGATGTATGTTATCTTTTCAATCTCATGTGGTTTTAAACTTGTCAGGTTGAGTGTTGGAGTTGAAAATTTTACTAAATATAAAAAGATACTTTTTTTGGAACAGACAAAAAGAGAAAGTAAGACACTTAAATTAGAACAGAGGAAGTTATAAGTCTCAAGAATATTGAAGAATTTTATCAAGTAGACTATTGAAGAATTTTATCTAGTGTTATCTGATTTTAAAAAAAATCAAGGTTCTTAGCGCAGTATTGAACAGATAACTGCAGAAATATTAATGTAAGCAAGTAAAGAGTTAAAAAGGCAACATCATTTCTTTTATACTAGTTCGATCCAAATGTTAACTCCCAAGTCCAATCTCAAAACGGACACTTTTTGGACGCTACAGATCAAAACAGGCACTTCACCGAAACAATTTGAAAATATTAAGGTATTATCAAATAGGTGAAGTGTCCATTTTGGTTTTTGTTTTTAGGGAGGGTCTCTTTTGGTCTATAACATCCAAAAAAAATGTCCGTTTTGGGGTCAGACTCCTCCAGGGAGGTTCAGTTTTGGAAAATAAGTTATCTTGAGATTAATTATTTCGAAATTAGTTATTTCAGGATTATTATTCCATATTCAATGTGAAATAATACTACAATCTCAAAATAACTAATCCAGCAAGTTTTCTCATAATTTTACGCCATCATTATGATTTGGTGAAAACACTATAATTAAAAATAATCTTTTAACATGGTCCAATAAAGGAGTGCCACATGTAATTTTATAAAGTCAACCTTGTCAATTAGTAGATCTATCTTCCTATCCCATCAGTTTTCATTCTTCAAGAATCAAAGTCCACAAAACTTCTTTTCCAATTCTTCCTAATAGGGAAACTATAGAGTTAACACAATCATATAGCAATTATTAATCTCTGTATTTGCACTCTAAGGTGAGATTCCTTTTTAGTTTTCTATTTTTTTCCTTTTATTTTACTTTTTAATGAGTCAACAAATTTAAGTGACACTTTGTTGTTATTTTTTCAGAAGTTAGTTTGATTAAATTTTAACTATAAATTAGATTTGATCAACTCTATACGAGATTCCTTTTGCTTTACTCGAATTTGATGCACTTGAGCTTATGATTTTTCAAAAACAGTCTTTCAACCTCTACGAAGTAGTGGTGCGTACAGTCTATTCTTCCCAGAGCTTACTTGGTGAAATTTCACTGGATATGTGGTTGTTTTGTTATTTCTAATTTGATTGTTTGTCACAATTTTCATGGCGTAATTTACTATATAGTAATGGAATATATATACTCGTATTCGTAAGATTCCTTTTCTTTTACTTAGATTTGATGCACTTGAGCTGAGGATCTTTTGGAAACCATCTTTCTACTTCCACGAAGTAGTGATAAGAACTGCGTATACTCTACTTTGACTATGTTATTGTTTTGTTATTTCTAACTATGTTAATGAATATAAAGAATATTACATATTGCATCGACAACATACTTGTCAAGAAATAATTTAAACCAACAATGTCATTTTAATATAACTTTATGGTTTTTAGTTCTCTCTAGTTACTTCCTTTCGCGATGTACTTCATTCATTTTCCTGAGATTCTTCGTCCTTTTCATATTTTTAACTTCATCTTTATATACCATCCACCTAGATGTGATCTCCGAGCAGCAGAATCATTCATCGGACTTGTGAACTTCTAGTCAGAAGAGACTTCAGTTGAAGCTAAACCATTGTATATATATGAAAGTATCTCTAGTAATTTCTTATCACAATTTACTATTACCTTCGACTCAATTTAAGTTTCTTAGTTTGATTCCGGTATAAGAAATAAAGAGTGTTTTTTTTAATTGATTTGGTTTAAATAATTTAAAAATTGATTGAATTAATTTGAGTTTAACTCTGATCAATAACCGACCCAAACTGATTCGTAAACATGTAAAACTCACCTACCATGTTTGGTGTAAACATGATTAACTTGGGTTGGATCTAACTAAAATTTGTCCTTTATTGTGGTCCAATAAAGGTTTGCCACGTGTATTTTAAAAACAAAGTCCACCCTGTCGATTGCTAGTTCATCTACCATCAGTCTTTATTTATGTATTCTAATTATTCCTCTTTGAAGCAATTATTGGTCTCTCTGTTTCCCCTCTAAGGTCAGATTCCTAATTTTCAGTTTTTTTTTTCTTTTGTTATTTCTCATTTGATTATTTGTCACAATTTTCATGTATAATTTTACAATATAGTCTACACTCATCAGATCTAGAAATCTCTCATGAATAGTTAATCATTAGAGTATATCTTTGTTAATGTAGATTTTATTTCCAAGCTAATTATATGGAGAATTCTGAAAAGTCTTGCATTGAACCTTATTATCCATCAATAGACGAAGAACTAGTGGGGTTTGATGATGATGCAAAAAATATAACTAAGTATTTGATAGATGTTCATCATTTTGGTGTTCTGTTTCACAAACATATAATAGGAGAGAGTTGGTGCTTCAGATTCTAAAACAAATTATAGATGATCATCATTCTAACTATGTTGACTTTGGCCATCCAAAATATGTCCGTTGTGGCCAGACTCCTCCTAGGGAGGTTCAGAAGTTATCTTGAGATTAATTATTCCAAAATTAGTTATTTTAGGATTATTATTTCACACTACAATCTCAAAATAATTAATCCAGCAAGTTATCTCATAATTTTAGGCCATCATGATGATTTGGTGTAAACACTATAAATTTGGGTTGGATCTAATTAAAAATAATCTTTTAACATGGTCCAATAAAAGAGTGCCACGTGAAACTTTATAAAGTCAACCTTGTCAAATACTAGATCTATCTTTCCCCTATACCATCAGTTTTCATTCTTCAAGATTCAAAGTCCACAAAACTTCTTTTCCAATTCTTCCTAGCTAAGAGGGAAACTATAGAGTTAACACAATCATATAGCAATTATTAATCTCTCCAATTGCACTCTAAGGTGAGATTCCTTTTTAGCTTTCTATTTTATTTTTCTTTTATTTTACTTTCTAATGAGTCAACAAATTTATGTGACACTTTGTTGTTATTTTTTCGGGAATTAATTTGACTAATCTTTGAATATAAATTAGATTAGATCCACTCTATATGAGAAGTAGTATAAGTAGTTGCGATTCTTCTCATATCAATATGATCCTTAATATTTTGGTTTGGGTCAATCGAATAGATAGAAGATCTAGCACCTTGGTGAGAGATAATGGGGCACAAGTTAGGATAGAGTTTTGTGATCTTGGGGAAAGCTTGTTTGAATCTCGAAAAAACGAAAAATGTCACTAACATTGGGAAAGAGTGATTTGAGGAATTAACTTGTAGAATAGAGATTTGGGAAAAATGTCACTAACGTTGCGATTCTTCCCATATCTATCTTAAAATTTTGGTCTGGGTCAATCGAATAGATAGAAGATCTAGCACTTGGTCAGAGAGAATGCACGAGTTAGAATAGAGTTTTGTGATCTTGGGGAAAGCTTGTTTGAATCTCGAAAAAACGAAAAATGTCACTAACATTGGGAAAGAGTGATTTGAGGAATTAACTTGTAGAATAGAGATTTGGGAAAAATGTCACTAACGTTGCGATTCTTCCCATATCTATCTTAAAATTTTGGTCTGGGTCAATCGAATAGATAGAAGATCTAGCACTTGGTCAGAGAGAATGCACGAGTTAGAATAGAGTTTTGTGATCTTGGGGAAAGCTAGTTTGAGGAATTAACTTCTAATTAACAAATCTTTCATAATGTTTCCAGTGTTGTTAATCCTATTTTAAATTAATTTGTAACTTCCATAGACATATATTCCCTCTTTTCAGAACATGGATGTTGAGGCAAAATGTTTAATCACACGTACTAGGTAACTCTGTCCACCTAATGTTTTACGGACATGTAAAATGTTCAAAACTATTTCTAATGCTCACTCGCTATTTGAATAGAAGAAAATGACATTACTAAGACGAAAACTATTTCATTGATTTTATGGAGGCTGACACAGTTATTAACTATAATGCAGTTTTACATGGAGAACATCGAGTTAACTACTTCTCAATGCTATTTTTCATCGAATGATGAGGAATTTGTGGGGTTTAAGGAGGATGTAGAACAGATCATTCAGAAATTGACTAAAGGAACAAAAGAACGCAAAGTTATATCGATTGTTGGAATGGCAGGACTAGGCAAAACAACTTTGGCTAGAAAGGTGTACAACAATCATTCTGTTGCTGATCACTTTGACGTTTGCGCATTTTGTATTGTTTCACAAACATATAGTATCAGGAAGCTATTGTTTGAGATTCTTAAACAATCCACGGGTGAAAAACGTGACATGATCAAAGAGGATGAGGACGTTGCAGATACGTTGAGGAAGGCACTTTATTGTAAGAGATACCTCATTGTTTTAGATGATATGTGGAACTATGAGGCATGGGAAGATTTGCAACCATGTTTCCCTTGTGCGAAAAGAGGTAGTAGAATTATGGTAACAACTCGCATTCAAGAGGTTGCTATTAAGATGAGTGATCCTTATTTACTTCGATTCCTAACAGAGAATGAAAGTTGGGAATTATTGCAAAAGAAGGTATTTAAACGCGAGGGGGTTCCCTTAGAGCTAGAAAAAGCAGGATTTGAAGTTGCTCGAAACTGTAAGGGACTGCCTCTTGTGATTGTGTTGAATGCTGGTATTATCGCACAAAAGGAAAGGCGAGTCTCCGTGTGGGAAGAGTTTGCAAAGGATTTAAGTTCTCTTGGTTTAGAAGAGCAGAGTAGGAAGGCAGTTCAATCAAGTTATGACTATTTACGCGATCATCTAAAGCATTGCCTTCTATACATTGGATACTTTCCCGAAGACTACAACATTCCAGTCTCCGATTTGCTAA